ACTACTCTCCTATATTTTTCACAAGCAATCATTTGTTTGATTTGCCGAAGATATATCTAGATTTATAAGAGTTACTTTTGTTATGATACCTAGGATTCTAGAACATGTTATTATTACAATGTTTTTGAACTAATGTCAAAACAGTTGACTAATGTTAATAAATAATGTTAATGTTAATAATATTAACTAGTATTAATAAACAAATGACAATAACGGAACAGCGAAAGAAATTTCATACACAGAAGAAAGCAGACCGAAGGCAAGACACGAGTTTATGCGCAGCATACATTAGAAGCAAAACAAACTGCAACAATTGCTGATTAAACTCTTAAATCGATTTGTGCAAACTCGGAAGAATTTGGGATTAACTATGGCACCTTGGAATTTTGCAACATGCGCATTCAAAATTGGCATGCACTCAGAATGTTACAATCTTCAAGCCACACATCGCACTATCATTTTCTCTTAATCTTGCATTTAGTTATATAGCAGTTATTTTCTATCGTTAAATAAAATTTTTCCTCATCTATTTATTAACCTGATTTTCATAAAAATTCCACATATTCTTTACGGAATTATTACAAAGTTTATTTTATGCAAGTTCTGAAAAGTGTCGGGCCATGATTGTTCAGTCTTGATGTGTTTAGATTTTATGTCTGCAAACAACAAGACAGGTAAGAATGCGCTTATTGGAGGATATGTTTGAGCAACGAAATTGGTGCGAAAAAGTATAGGCTAGAAGTTGTTTTATATTTTTAAAGTTTTGGGTTTAAACCCAAAATGAACTATACCTCGAGTACCTAACTCGACATACTACAGAACTATACGACATAATTGATGTTCGCACTGCCAGATAAAAGGATATTCCATTTAATGAGTACAACTTAGAGCTGAAATTCTGATTAACTCATCTGGCTCCTTAATAAAGACTGCCTAAGGCATAAATCATAAAAAAATGTAATTCTGAACTTTTATTGCGAACACGATCTGTTCTTCAGAAGCAGTTTCTGTAGGAAGAGCATTGTCATTGGTGCTGTACCTGAAAATCAAGTTTGTCAATAAGTACGGTATACAAACCTTTCATAAGAGCTAAACGTAAAAATTTATCATTGTTTCGAAAATCGTTCATAATGCCAATCCTTCGGCTACGGATATTATAGCAGAAATGTACTATCTAAAAGAAAGCGCATCATGTGCATGAAATTCCGGTTACAATTCGGCTTTTATACTGTGGTATAGATATTTGTTAAGGTTAATTAATATGTGTTCTTGTCTTTGTCATTTGATATTTTGCGTTTATCCCTTAAACTAACTCAAAAGTTTATGAACTACAGCTTAAAATTAACGTTTTTACTTTGTGAAAATTTAAAGATCTATAAATTTCGGCCACTGTTCTCTGTTGTTTTCGAAGATGCGATTATGTTGGTTGGTGCGTCTGTTCTTACTACAAACATATAGCACAAAACTGTTAATAAGCAACGCAATATAATGACCGATGTTTCGGCCCGTATATCACGACCTGGAAGGTACAGTGGTTGGTTGGTCGTAACTTCCCACTCGGTCCGCATCATGATCAGTATGGGTTGAACTGTGAAGAGGCTATGACGCACCTTTCAACAAGCGAGCGAGAACCACTTAGTAACGTAAGAAGAATTTCCCATAGGTGAACCCTTACCTCAAAAGGGCTCATGACTAAGTGAGTTAGTCGTAGTTAGCTGATATCCATTTTGAGTCAATCAGTTGGTCGGCGATTGCTAACAGCACAAAGTAGAACAAGAATTTACGAACAAAAACATATAAGGCGCTGAAAACACTGATAAATATAAACATAATATGTGCATTTTCACACAGTTCATAAATAGCCGTAGAGTGATAAGTAGTAAGCGAGAACAAACACAAAGAGTGACAAAAGCTCGAATCGGATGCCATGATATAGCCAAGAAAAAATTCGCAACAACGAAAGAAACCTAATTATTGAGTTTTTCTGTACTGTTCACCTACTTGAGTTCTGTCAATACTTACCATGCTTTCGATAATGAAAATCCACTGTCAAATCTGATAACCTGATCCTGATTGTGTCTGAAATGTGTCGCCCCTTGTCTTGTTTCGCTTCATTCTGAAGTGCAGTTCAGAAACAAAATGAAATCGCTGAATGATAAATTCGCTCCTTTAGCGTGTTTCAGTCTTTCACTGATGAAACGCGATGGACAGGACGAGAATGCTGACTACGTGCTCAGAAGCAAGCGAGCACGAGGCGCCTCTACGCTGGATGATCAGGTAGGCCTTCTTGATTCTGCGCCCAACTACTAGCTATCTTCGTGTACTGAAATGTACTCTTTTCTAGCCAAAGGCGTCGGATGAACTGATACGATGTATGCAGCGACTGAAATCCGACGACGGAAGGCCACTGTGGGACTTTATCTTCCGCGTTCCCAACAGGTGCGTTGAATTGGGCGGTGTTGCGTGGTCTTTTACTTGTATTATTCATTTATTCATTTGTTTTTAAGTTCTCCTAAAGCACACTACAAGTAGTCATCCCATGCAAGAACAAAAAATGATATTTGCTAATGTTAGTGATAGAAAAACAGTACATAATGAAGACAAGACGATGTTTATTTTGTTAGGCGCAGTCAAAATTGCTGCAGCTTTTTCCATAGCTCCTGTTGTGGTCGCTGGATCGATTAAGCTCATAGCTGTGAAAGGGATTACCGAATTCCTGTACGCATCTGTCCGACATTTATACGACACGTAATTAGACCGATCTTAGACGAGTCGCTGGCCTTACGCGTCTCGACATGGTCCGGAATACTGACATCCGGAAGAGCCTTGGA